CGCGTCTGATTGGAGCGCGCATATGGGGCGTTGCCTTCGCCGTTGCGGGGCGGGGTCAAGGCTATGGGGCAGAGGGATGGGTTGCCATGGCAACCTTGAGGGAGGGGGAGGGCAGCCCCTCTGCCCAAGGCAGGCATGGCCCGAGGCAAAAGGGTGGGGCAGGTTGTGGTCTGCTGACCTAGAGCAAGCCTTGGCATTTCCCTGGTGCCTCAGTTTCCCTGTCTTTGAAAGGGAGCTAGTCCCGCTGACCTCGCTTGTAGGCCAGGAGCATCTGCTGCTTTTCTCAGAGGCCCGAGGAAGGGCATGGAGGCAGCACCCAAAAGTTCGTCTCTGTCCCTCCAGCCTTGCAGCAGGACTCGCCCATGAGAGCGGCTGTGACACCCCGCAATGGCTGCCTTAATCCTGCTCCCACTTCAGCTCCATAGTGTACTCCCTTGCTATTTTGCCGGCCACGCTATGATGTACGTGAATTGTTGGGCTGTCGCTGGAGTCCCGCAGCGATCCCGAGTGCACCTCACTGACAGAGGTGGGTGCTTGGTCCCGCTGCTGTCCCTGTCTCTGGACCGGCAGTCCAATACCACAGCTGTTCTGCGCCCTGCCCGCACCTATCCTGCCCTGCAGGCACCCCTCATGGCCCTACCACCCCTATCCATGCCTAGTGGCACCAAAATCACCTAAGGGGCATTACTCGTGGCCTCCAGCTGCCCTCGTAGCCACACATGTCTCACAGCTGTCACTTGTCCTTTGCTGGCCCCTCTGGTCCTACATTAACTTCCAGTGGCTTGGGCCCTAGGCCCCTGTTGGTTGGCTTCAGCCCACTTGGGCTCCTTCGCCCTGCCTCTTTTACACCGGGTCTCCTGATGCTCTCCTCTCCGGCTCTGAGACCCCTGACCACCTTTCCAGGGTGGCTCGCTTGCTGCCCCTGCAAAGCTGGGCTTTGGCCTGCACAACACACAGGGTCCCAGACCCTTGTGGGGTTGTCTCCTGACCTGATCCCCTGATAGCAGGGAGTGCCTGCCAGGAACCTCACGGGTCTCCTCTGCACCCCAAAACCCCTGGTCTTTTGCAGTCTACAGTAGCCAAAACCCCAACATTTTCTATTGCTGCTAGGTGCCTGTCTCCAGGCTCTCCCCAAGCTCCTGTCCTGATTGATTAGCCTCTCCCCAGCTCCAGCCCTACTCATGGCTTCCACCACCCCAGCTCTGGGCCAGGAGCTCTTCCCCCAAGCACCCCCTGAGCCAGGCTGGCTGCTCTGGCTCAGGAGCTAAGCTGGTATCTCCCAGACCTCCACCCCTTCGGGGCATGTGCCCTTGACCTCAATGAGCAGCCTGCTCTCCCTAACTGCATTTGGCTCTGCTGAGCTGTAGCCCTTCCTCCCTGCCTGGAGCTTTGCCTTGTTTGCTTATTGCTTGGCTAGCTCCTAAGCGGTTATAGGCAGCCCTATAACCCTTGTTTGGACTTTCTTCTGGCTGCTTACTCAAATGCAGCTGGCCCTGGCTCAGCTGTCTCCTAGAACATGGCTCTAGCCCACTGCTTTGCCCTCTTAAAGTAACAAAGACCTTGATCCAATAAAAGATTAATTGCTCACAAAGGACCTTGTCTTTTGTACTTTTCCTGGCCCACCATCACTACAACTTCACCCCAACACTCTCTTGAAAAGTGCTTTGAGATCTGCTGATGCAAAGAAGATTGATGTGGCATTACCTATGGAGAAAATTAAAATGCCAGGTAGCTCATGCCTTCACAAGTATTTGTTTTTGCACCAATGATTTCCAGCAGCAAAAGTGAAGGGATACCAATTGCCTGTGAAATATGGAGAACTTTAGGACCAAAACAGCCATCTAAGAGGCAAGCCAAATGAGGGGATAGGGAAGACAGAGCTGGGCTTAGGGGTGGGCAGCATGGGTGACTGCCCAGGGTGCTGTGGTGAGAGGGTCACCACACGAGCACACGCATGCTCACAGCAGTACTCTCCCTTCTGCCCTGACCCAGCTGATCCCCACCTCCCCCAGGCAGGAGGAGCAGTGCCCAGCCCAGCTCAGTGCCCCCACCTCCCTCTGCCTGCCTCCAGTCACTGCTCAGAAGCAGGGCCAGGCAATGTGGGCAGCAGCATTGGTACCTATCCACCTACCTGCTTGGTGCACCATGCCACCCCACCTCTCTGAAAGACTGCACCTCTGCCCCTGCTTGTCCTTGTCTGCAGCAGTGCCACTGACCCAGGAGGGCACCAAGGGGGAGTGGTGGGGTACCAAATTACAAGTTTGCCCAGGACACCACAAGAGAAGGCTGAGGGGGGACCTGGTGACCGTCTATAAATTCACTAGGGGGGACCAGAAGGGTTTGGGGGAGACGCTGTTTCCCCTAGCACCCACTGGCATAACAAGGAGTAATGGGCACAAGTTGATGGAGAG